TTGAATTAACCTTTTACACAATTCAAAGGGGGAGCACTGATACATAACCTTCTCTTGCAGCCGGTTACACTTAATATAATTCAACTATCATGTAAAACACAACTTATCAAAATACCTAACACAATAGTTTTTCAAAATGATGGGTCCAAACATTACTACGGCATGGAAGACATAACTATATCATAAAAGTTAGAGTATCACATATATCATTTTCTTTGGTCTTAAACATATTCCATACTTAGTGTTTAAACAATTCAACTATCAGTCCAAAAAAAAAACCACCGATAACATACATTTTACTTAATTATTTGCATAAAAAAAAGTTGCCTTACCAAGCATTTTCCCTTTTCATTCTGTCTAACCAGACGGAGGTAGAATCCTCCTGATCCTCTATCCTTATTCTTGTCATGTTCTGCTCAACAATTAATTACAATATACACAAGAAATGTACAATAGACATGGATCATAATCGTTAGCATCAACAGGTTACATTTAACGTTGCCATCATTTCCTTTCATATGCAATAAGGATGTCATGCATGATACCTAAGTCTTTTCTAGACATCCTAAAGCCCAATGGATTCGTGTGTGAGATAGCAACTCGTGCTCTGATACCACTTATCACGCCCCAGACTCGCCCCAAAAAGTTCGGGCATGACCTATGCAGATACGGACACATAACCTGATATACATAATATATGGGGCCTGAACGGAAGCATTTAATATTACAAATTAACATAAAATAACATCCATTGAGCTAAAACTAACATGCCAGGATCACATATGTGAATGCCATTTATCTATATACATACTCATACATTTAAATGAACGTATATCCGAACATTGGTAAAGAAAGGGGGTATATACATACATATTAACCTTAAGTAAATAATTAAAGTGCAAGCCAAAATCTTAACAAAACTTCACATAAATGCATGGGCTTGGTCTGGGAGTCTGGGCATACTGAGGTTGACAATTAGAGGGTGAGCATCAAGGGTTAAGACGGACTCCCAAAGTAATTACCTACAGAACAGACATAACACAAAGTGAGCGAAGCTCGGTGAATAATAGTACATAAATGATTCAATGCTCAACTTGAAGTATAATACATATCAATGCATACATAAATAAAGAGGGCATAAGGTTAATTGATTCTGCACTAATTTCATAACGGCCTTAGGCCCAGTCTTGAAACATTATGACTTAAAACATAATATCTTGAAGCATGATGGCTTTAAGCCCTTGAACAGAGTGGCAATAGGCCGTTGAACATATTGGCATTAAGCCCTTAAACGTGTTGGCATTGAGCCCTTGAACATGTTGGCATTAAGCCCTTGAACTTGTGTGTATGAACTTAAGAGGTGGCTCGCACGGATTCTAGAGGTGACTCGCATTGCAGCTCTTAGTTCCGTACAACACTTTGTTTCATACTAACAGAACTTACAGATCATACAAAATAGCCATAGGCCTCATAACTTTCACAGAACAGCTTTCAGCCTTATAACTTTCACATATGTATGGACTCAAGAGGTGGCTCGTACGGATTCTAGAGGTAACTCGCACTGCAGCACTTAGTTCTGTACAGCACGTTGCTCCATTCCAAGAATACAGAATGGCCTCTGGCCTAATAGATCATATAGAATGGTCGTAGGCCCAGATTGGCTTTAAGCCTAGTTCATATATGTATGGATTCAAGAGGTGTCTCACATGGACTCTAGAGGTGGCTCACAATGTAGTTCCAAGTAGCACTTTGTTCCATACCAGTAATTAATGGGTCTTACAGACCAAACCATACATATCATGTCATACCATAAACGGAAACAAATTCATACATATGCATTATACTTGAATCATAAACAAAAATCAGAATTCATACTTGATTATACTTGGCACTTCGCTGGCGCTAACAAATCAATATAAAGCATTCTTGTTAGTTCCATAAAGGAATCCCCCGATACTGAGAACTTATAACATACGTGAACTTGTAACATACTTAAACTTACACATACTTGAACTTGTAACATATGTAAACTTGTAACATACGTAAACTTGTAACATCCTTGAACGACAGTATAATTACCCCCGGGTAAGGGCCGTGTGCTACGGATGTCATGAATACTTTACATATATGGACAACTGTTCATTAAGTCAAAATGTAACATATCAGAACATAGAGTATTTCTTGCTATATCATGTCATTACAGTACACTTAACAAAGACAGAACAGTTTACATCATAACGTGAGCCACATGACAAGGTCATTGATATTTAATTCTGTCTTCAGGTTGAGTCATCCGTAAATTAATCCGTTGTTTATCATAATTCTTAGCAGGTATTAACGTATAAAACAATCCGTGGTCTTAACTAACTATTCATTAAGAAATGGTGTAGTTCACTTGATCTATTAATAGCATATAGAAGCATACACCTTTGTTTGATCGTTCATATATGTTACCATAGTTGACTTGTACTTAACAGAGTACTAATGATAGCCGTTACATCATTCACATGAGTTAACATAGTTAACTTAAGTTTAACAGGACATTCCTGATAATTATTAATGAGAGATAAGTACATTTACAGATTGAATGATTTCAAAGATACGTGAATACCATGTGTAGACACCCCATTTTTGACCGACCTTAAGACTCAGACGTCACCGATTGAGCGCTCGGTGATGTTGCATAATGTGCTCGTTCAGAAGTTTCAGAGTCGCAGCTGCGAGCCCTGCCTCCGGACTTCCGAACTCTCTACTGTGCCTTGCCTCGGTTTGCGAACCAGACTCAGTTTTCTCTGTTTCTTTTCCTGAGGGGAGGGAGAGGTCCCGTAGACCATCTCTCAGTGGCCGTGGGCTACATTTTGTGGCTATAGGTCATTTTGCCCATTTCAAAGCCCGGTTCCCGGTTTTCTGAGCCGTCAGGCCGTGTGCCTCGGTTCGGGACCGCTTAACCGTCTCCATTTGCTCTGATTTTTGGCATACATCTTATTTTCTCCCTTTCAAGGGACACTGGGGTCTGAGAAATAC